TGCAGAGGGGGATGGCCTCGTGCACACGGGGATGCAGACGGGCGTGGAGGAGGGTGGGGGCCCCCAGGATTGTTCCCTGGTCCCCACCAGGGTCCCGTTGACCCCCGTCCCCTCCCCCGTGGTGCTGGTGTCCGGCGAGCCCTGAGCGCCCTCTGCCGGCCGGTCCTCCCTGCGTCCCTCCCCCTCCCCTCCTCCCCCCGCGGACGCCAGTTGCCCTGAAAGCAGAACAAGATGTGGAGAATTGTCCTGTCCAAGTGACTCAGACTAAAGAGACCTGAATAGGGGGCCCAGGGCTGGACACCAGCCTGCGCAAAGGCCCTGCGGCAAGTAACAGGGAAGTGAGACTGGGAGAGTGACGAACAGACCAGGGGATTCCCGGGTGGACAGGGCTGCGGCAGGCTTCTGGAAGCCTCATTCCCGGCCCAGAGTCTCTAGCACGGAGCCCAGGACTGCTCCACTCTGGGGCCCCATCCCTTGTTCTCCTGGAGCTGTAGGCTTACCCGAGGGCCCAGTGCGGGGGTGGGGGGGGGGTCGGGGGGTGGTAGTCTATTTGCCTAGCCACTCCCCAAACACAGACTTCTCAGGCACAGTGAAGGCACTCGCTGTTGGTTTTATTATGAACCTGATTCCGAAGGTTAGGCCTGGTCCTGCTAGTTGACCACTCAGCTGGCCCCGTGATTTCAGCACACACTGACGGCTTCAAGGGGGCCCAGACCCAGGCTTCTCTGCCTATAGCTACTGCTCTCACCTTGGGCCTTGACTAGCCCGAGGATGGGGTAACCTGTGTTCCCCATGCTTCTGGGTCAGACAGTCCATCCACAGGGCTCAAGTCTTCATCTCCTGCTGGGGAGACTGGTCCCCATATGGGAAATCTTTAGATGGGCTCATGTCCCATTGGACTATGGTGAGCCCCTCCTCTCCCGGGCCTGGTGTCAGAGCGTCTGGCTGATGTTAAGGTGGTTTCCTGGTCTCCTTCCTCAGCAGCGAGCTGGCAGCAGCCAGGGCCCCACCCTGGACGAACCTCACGAAGTTGTCTCCAGCCAGTGGGCCCAGGGCATACAGGCCCTCCTGGTTAGCACTCTCATAGGTGAAGGGATCCACATCGATGGGGTTCCTCTTGGGGCTCAGTGGCTGATCTGGGTCTATGGCCAAGTCAGCACCTGCCCTGGGGAGGTAGGAGAGGTTGGGGTGGGAGCCAATGAGGACCAGCACCATGGAGACTCCGAAGAGCTGCTGGCCCCCTTGTGGGTCCTGGAACACTGCCTGGTGGTCCTCCTTGAAGAGCAGCGGTCGGTGCTCAGGGAGGCTGCGGTAGCCCTGGTAGGGGCTGGGTGACAAGATGGATTGGTCACGCATCATCTGGTGCACCTTGTGGTACTCAGGGTACAGCATCTTGGGCAGCTGGTTGAAGACCAGGCCAGGGTCATGGACAGACCGGCGGAAGGCATGGATCACCTGGATGTTGTAGTGGCGAGCGAAAAGGACAGCGTCGGCTGCAGACAGCCCAGCGCCCACGATCAGCACCGGGTCTGAGTTTGGGCTTACAGTGCCTGCCCGCAGGGCTGCCTCCAGGGCTGACAGCTCATGGTGGACAAAGGGCAGGGTCTCTCCTGGGATGCCTAGCCAGGCTGGGCTGTCAAAGGTGCCCGTGGCCAGGACCACGTTACGGGCCCACAGTGAAAAGGGCTGGCGGCTGTGGTCCTTGGCAGTCACGTAACCTTTCACTTGGAAGAGGGGGCTGGGTGCTTGGGCCTCGGGGCTGCCATGGTCAGACTTTGCTTGCTCCACAGCCGTGACTACGGCGCCAGACACAAAGTTGTGACTTAGACCCTTCTTGGTCACATAGTCCCTGTAGTAGTGGGCGATGTCACCGGCTGTGGCTCTGCTGTTGCGGAGACCTCTGAGGAGGAAGCAGATGTGGGAGCTGGTGTCAGAGACGGGCATGGAGGCAGGCAACGTCAGTGGTGACGGCACTCCCAGCTGCAGCGAGGCTTCACTGCCTCTCCCTATCCCTTAGTTTCCCTACTTGTGAGGCAGGGTGGTGAGTGTCAGACCTTGGGGGATTCTACCAGGTTGGGTGAAAACCAAGTGCCTAGACTGGAGCTTGAGCATGGGTGTGACATGTCCAGGCTGGCAAGCAGTGATGCCGTTACCCCAGTAGGTAATAACAGTCCAAACGCTGATGACTGCCAGCACTCTGGAGGCTGAGGCAGGAGGATCACCAGTTTAAGGCCAGCCTTGCATGGCAAGACCTTGCCTCAGAAACTCAAAATATAGTAAGACCTAACATCTTAGATAACATAAAGTTCGGAATGAGGTCAAGGGTCTCTGCAGCTAGAGTCAAGAGCAGGGCTGCACTGGAGGAGGGGAAGAGGGGGTGAGAGGAGGGCAGAGGGACACTGGGCAGTGGCCTCTGAGCCTGGCCTCGAGTACGACGGGCAAAGCCCTCCTCAGTGGTACTCAGGGCTTTCGTACCGTTTTCTAGGTGAGCTCCCCCCTCCACCCCCAGCTGAGGACTGAACCCAGGGCCTTGGGCTTGCTAGGCAAGTGCTCTACCACTGAGCTAAATCCCTACCCCTCAACCCCGTGAATCCCATTCTGAAGTGTGA